TCATTAGGATAAATGACAGTCCATGCTTATGATAAGGTTCAATGGCACAGCATCAACATTGAGAGTCTTAATGAGAGATTTCATAACATCTTAAACACAGTTGCAAAGATGGATGAAAGATGGGGCAGAAGTGATGAAACCAGAAGAAGTTTCATGGCTACTTGGTTCATAACCAGCAGAGAAGATGTGGATACTTGTTTTCCAACAAGTACCTGTTTTTCCAAACAATAGCTCACCATACCTCAGCAATGAAGCTAAATGACTATAACAAAGCGCTGATTGGGAGGCAACCAACTATTAGGTAATTTTTCTTTTGGTGTTGTTTTACTTTATTGATTCTTTTTCGTTTTTCATATTCACAGGTTTTTATATAAAAAAAGGATCCATGGAGTAACAGATGACCATCTCATCGACCGACGAGACACTGTCGATATTGATCGACAGATTATCACCTGCAATGATCGATACACTCTCTTACACATCTATCGATATTTAGTCTAGTCAGGTTTATCGTACTTTCTTGTTACATTAAGTACTTTTGATTTATTTTCTTTTGCCATAACTCTCACTATTTTACATTGGAGCAGTGTAATTTAAGTATGGGGGAGGTTTACTGATATTTTATTTGTTATGAGTCTTATGAAAATTGTTTTCAAAACTATTTTTATTGAGCTCAAGAAAAGGGATGATGATCTTATTTGATTTATACTTTTCATCTAACAACTTTTTAGCACAATTCTAGATCTGATGATTACAGATAGTACAAAAGATGCTAAAGTGGATTAACAAACCAATTATAAACACTTGCTTAGATTGTTTGAAGGAACCAAAGGTTACCTCCATCATTAAACCTGACACAACTGCTTGTCTTGGGGCTTGGTATACATGATCAGATTCTTCAAACAAGTCTGTAAGGTAAATCCTTGTGTAGATTTATCACCTTTTTCTCTCTATTTTCGACCCTAGATAGTTAAGTAGATTTATAGTTTTACTATAAAAAAAATCCAAAAATATTATTAATTTTATTAGGATTTTAGTTTGGAGGAATCAGAACAGGACTTGGTGGCTACAAGCAGTAAGGCTCACTTGATATGAATTCTTGGATATATGTAAAAAAAAAGTGATTAGGACTTGGTGGCAACCACCATTAAGACTTGTTTCATGGAAGCCTGTCCAATCTTGGTCAATAATCATGCGTTATAGAAGCTTTTAATTATATTTATAGGTTTAGGATTAATTTCAAAGAAATTGATGTTTTTGGAGCATTTTAGAGACACTTTGAGAAATCACTAGATTTCAGAACCGACCAATACAATGAGGTCGACACGGAGTGACTCACATCGATCGATACGCACAATGCATAATCGATCAATGTCGAAGGCGCGGAAGACCAATTCGCGAGACAGTCGTCTTGAATTCCAAACTTCACCAAATGACGATTATACCCTTGACGAGTTTTAACCTAAGTTTATATACTCCGCCAAAGTTTTAGAGGCAGAGAAAGCTTTTTGTATTCTTTTCATAGAAAAAGGTTTTTAGGATTTATAGTTTGGGAGAGAAGATCAACAGAGAGATTTGTGATTGGAGCTCTATTGTTTTTCTATCTATCTATAATTATGTAGTTTTATTACTTTGTTTGTGTTATGAATTTCTTAGCCATGTCTGAGTAATTCACTTGTTAGAATTAGGGTTTAAATAGGTTAGTGGGATTTTGCCCGAACTATATGATCGCTTGTTGTGGTATTCATTAATATGATGTTCTTAATGTTTATGTCTAGACTTGTTAAATAAAAACCTGAATCTAGGATTGTTAGGTTGTTTAAGCATACTTAGATAACTCTGATAATCTTTAATACATCCTGATTAAGATAGGATTTTACTAGAAATACAGCGAGAGTTTGATCTAGGGATCCATAGTGAGTATAGATTAACTCGCGCATAACACTTGACTAGCCGCATCGATCGATATTCGCATTGGAAATCGATCGACGTCGAGTAAACTGTATCTATAGATATTCCTATAGAATAATCGTTCAACACTGTTATAGATCGGACATTCTTGTTTGGGTTAATAACACTCTAGTCAATAGACTTATTTATTAAGCGAGAGTTTAGTAAATAGGTTATTAAGACAGTTAAGGTCTTTAATACCATGCAAACTATAATTAGCATCTATATGATTATAATCTCCAACACTTGAATAAAATCCTTAAGTCTAACGCCTTTTCATTTAAGTTCAAAATCCTTATTCCTTTCTTTCGAGTAATTGTCTCGCTCAATTAGAATATTTACTATTTTCTGTTTACTTGATTACTGCGATTTTACATTTAATATTCACCTAGTATTATTGTTTGATTAGATTTAAGTGGTTCCTTAGCTCCTTGTGGATTTGATCCCTAAGTACTACAATAGATCTCTTATTTGAGAGAGTAAGTGCTTCTTAGGGTAATTTGATCACGTATCAGTAAGTATGGTTTTATATCAAGCGTTGAAGGAATGAGAAACAAGACAATGATCTTAATATAGTCCATGATATCTATATATTGTTCATGTGGACATACAATTTGATTTGTAGTTTTGTACACACGAATACCAATAGACATAGGAAAATATAGCTTGGTCTTAACCATCACTATATTGGTTACTACTTTGAGACGTAAAAAGTTATATAATGTTTCTATATGAATAAGGCCACTCTTGTGAACTTTTACAACATGTCCACCTTAGGTGATGTCCATGTGTACACTAACCTTATCATGTACAAGTACATGATTGTGTCTATCATGAAACATGTGTACATATTGTTATTGAACCCAAGTTTCTTACATAAACGTACACGCATATATAGAATTTGAACAATCATATTTGCATGTTTGGTCATTATGAATAGCAAAATAGAATCCCCATGTTACACATATCTCTTGTACATAGTAATGATGATATCCAAATGTACATCCATACACATGTGCATCTTTGGTTTAAAGGAAAAAAAAAAGATTTAGATAAGTTACATCTCACTTGGCATTAACATATAAAATGAGAGTTGGAACTTCATTTAAGAATGTGAGATCAATAATGATACATTATGACACTTACACTTAACTAAGAATCGTCTATACATTGGTAGCTCTAATGAGTGAAAATTCAACTCATAAGCACTAACAATTGGTTACACATATACTTTATGATCTAGCAACGTAGAGACCAAAAACCAAAACCAAAATTAAGAAACAAAACCAACACAATATAACTTGCTCCACTTAAAATTAAATTTATTCCTCTCCATCTTCTCCATTACCAAAACTCAAGTTCTTTGCACCATACTGCTTCTCACAAATAGTCTTCCAAATCTCATTGCTGACTCGACTAAGACCCATAGAGAAAACATCACTGCCGGAGAGAATTTGAATCAAACATCCTTAAATCTCACCCAGAGAGAATTCATCTCCTTGTGATCTTTTCTTCCTCTGCCTCTTGGCATCTCAGATCACCACGACGAGATCCTTCAACGCGACGAGGAGACCGTCAGAAATGAGTCAAGCTCTGTAACCGTCAGTGTACACTCCATGTTTCAACTCTACTCTTCGGCTTCCTATATCCCATTATACTCTAAAGAACTATCATAAACCATGATTAACCATTCAAAGAGAAGAAAAAAACAACAGATAGTTGTACTGTACTTACAACTGAGCTCATGGCCGCCAAGTTATATAATTTTGACAGTGAATCAGCTTCAAATATTGAAGCTTATGATCTTTTCTGGCTGATACAGAGTCAAAATAGCCACTTTGAATTCAATCTAGGAACAACAAATCTTTCATCTACTGGAAAGTTTGAAAGGATACCTAAGAAATTTAGGAAACAACTTTACAACCAAAACACATGAATCAAATCCCAGACCAAAGAATCAAACGAGGTGACATTGAAAACCCACAAATCAGATTTTAAGTACCCATATGACGAATCTAGTCAACAAAACACTAATATACTCCCTCTATTTTATTATAAGTGTCACTCTACACTTGTGCACACGGATTAAGGAAATAATTAATTTTACATATTTCCTATACAAAAACACAGTTACCAATACACCTAACCATATTTTAACCAATACAAAAATAAATTACATAATAAAATTAATAAATTTGTATTGAAAACCGAAAACTACACATATTTTATAACATAAAAAATTCTCTACAATGACACTTAATATGAAAAGGAGGGAGTATAATTTTTTTGCTTAAGTATTCTTTATTGGGCGCTCACGTCCTACCTCACAAGAACTAGGGTTTTGACTTTTCTTGGCAATTAGATATTTTCAATCAACGATAATAGATGTGGAGGATTTGGAAGACTCAACCGTTGAAGAAACAGTGGCAAAGAATAAAATGATAATTCTAGGAAACTTATGCAACCAATGGAGCCAAATGAAAAAAAAAATTGAAACTTTGAACATAGATTAAAAAAAAGTTCTACGATAGATTTGAGATATGTTGTTAGAAAAGTAGGCATTGGTCAGGTTTTAGTGTGCATAAGGACAAAATTAGAATTTCGTATGATAAAGAGAAGAGGAAAGTCGAGAGAAAGTGTGTAAAGAGTGTAAAGTGTCTTAGAGTGATATTAATAAGTTCAAAAGTGACGTTGTAATTGTTTCTTAGATGAATATATATATAAAACGTAGTTTAAGATGTGTATATATATATATTCAAAAAATTAGACTGCTACTAGTAAAATTCATTGTATAAAACACAAAACATGGATTTATATACAACAAAGTTCCTTGAAAAAAACGACTAATACGATTTTAGTGGGAAATAAATCTATAAAACAAAAAACAAAAAAAAAATGAAGGAAAAGGTGGTTTTCTCTTGGCAAGACCTAATGAACACGGAAATATGTTATCGTTACGAATAATTCTTCACTCCTACTTATGTAACAGACCTTATGTTTTGTTTATCTACCGACCAAAAGGCTTTTCTTTCTTTCTCTTTAAAATCTCGTCATATCGTAACTCGTCCTATCCTTGTAACAATTTCCATCATGTTTCCTCTGTCATCTGGATTACTTGCAATACACGCAGCACCAATCCGCAGCAATTCCACCATTTGTTGCAACGAATCAGTATTACTCAATATCTCTGGATCAATAAGCTCTTCTTCTTTATGCTGCGCAACTGAAGATTGCACCCATTCAATGATATCCGTGCCACCTTTACCATTGTTTAGGTACTGCGAAGGGAACTTTCCCGTCATGACCTCTAAAAGGATAACTCCGAGGCAATATACATCTGATTTTGGTGAAACCTGATGGTTTTGAATGAATTCGGGGGATTTAAAAGCGAATAACGCCTGCGAGGCATTGTCAGGCTGAAGAAACGGGAGAAATGCATAATCACTGATCAGTGGCTCATAGGTTTCATTTAATAGAACGTTACTGGACTTAAGATTTCCGTGGGGAAGTTCATAGGACACAAACTCTTCGTGCAAGAACTGCATCCCAAGTGCTACTCCTTTTATGATCTTCAACCTTGTTGGCCAAGTTAGCTCAGAATGAAAAGTCCCTCGATCCCCTGATATTGAAAAACAAACATTAGAAATTGATCAATATTAACCTCATTTATTGTCAGTAAGGATATCAATTTGCGTAACCTGCATAAATTGTCTCGCCATGAGACGAGTTGAAAATATAGAAAATACTAAAGAAAATATAGAGAGTAAACCCCATTACAAATTGTAGTTTCATGCAAGGTTGCATTCTCAAAGAAAAAAAGAAACACATAGCTTTTTTCTTTAAAATGTTTTTTTTTACGATTTAGTTCATCATTGATTAGAAACTCTCACCTTTAAAGGAATATTTTTTTCAAAAAATGTTTCTAAATATCAACTGAAAAGAAAAAAAAACGTAGCAGTACCGTGCAAAACGTAGAGCAGACTGCCTTTAGGCATGTATTCAGAGACAACAAGCTTTTCTTCGCGACGGTAATGATAAGCTAAAGGGGTAAGAACGTTAGGATGTCGTAGTTTCCCAAAACGTTGTAGCTCGACATCGAATGAGTCACGTGGCAGCTTGTTCATATCCCTAATCCGCTTTACAACAACAGATAATCCGTTGACCATGACGGCCTTATAGGCCGACCCAAGGCTACCGTTGCCTAGCACCTCGGCCGCTGCCTTCATGAGATCGGGTAAACCAAAGGAACCTTTCTCGCTGTTCACCATTATAATGTCTCCCATGCCCCCTCCTCCTCCACCTTTCCCATGATGCGTTGAACCTTTTTTAGAGGATCCGTCACCGTTACTGCGCTTCTTTGTTGACTCAACAGTCTTCTTAACAGAGTCTGGCATGCGCACTTCCACGCTTTCAGTGTCACTTAGGTGGTCCTTGCTAAGCATTCGGAACTCGGGCTGCCTCTTCTTCTTCCATCTTGTTATAATTGCCACCAAGATCAAGAATATCAAAAGAAAAATAATGACCATAAAGACGGCTTTCCCGGTGACCTCGTTCGGGTCTTTGCCTGACGTTGGTGGTTTATCATCGCATTTGATATTCAGCGGATGCCCACAAAGCCTCTGGTTTCCCTGAAAGTTCATCTTTAGATTATTTCTTTCTGCTATACTCTTTGGGATCTCTCCCTCCAGGTTATTGTTGGAGAGGTCGAGGGATTTCAGATTCTTGTTGCCATCTGTAACCGAAGGTATCTCACCAGAGAACTGGTTTCCTTGTAAGTGAAGCTCCTCGAGGCCCGTGAGTTGCATCACGGAAATGGGAATTTTCCCAGTGAAATCGTTGTTATCTAAAAATACCCGCTTAAGTTGTGGCATATCCTTGAAGAAATCATCAGCGATCTCTCCAGAAAAGCTATTGTTTGACACTAAGAGCGATTTAAGGCCATGGAGCTTGAAGAAAGGTGGGAGTGGGCCCGAAAGAAGATTATTGTCAAGCCTGATTGTCCTTAGGTTTGGAAGGTCTTTTAGATCCTCGACATGGATGATCCCAGAGAGACCGAGCCTGGTGACGTGAATACCAGAGACTGTTTGACCCTTTTGGCAGTAGATCCCAAACCATTTGCCATTGCAAGGATCGGTTCCAGTTCTCCATGAATTCAGGTCCCCTTTGGTTATATTCACCGAGGTTTTGAACCGCATTAGCGGCTCAGACTCGCTGACGTGTTGCAGAGAAGGGGTGAAAGAGAAACAGAGGAGGAAGCAAAATAATAGAACAGCAGTCATGGAAAGACAAGGAGCTGCTGTTCTTTGTTGTTGTTGTTTTGCTCTTTTTGAAGAATCTTATCAGAAAGATGATGATATGGTGCTGTCTCCTCGTCTATGAATGTTGTTTTGCTTGGATTGTGTTTATTGTTCAAAATGTTGGACATTGTTTTGAGTGTTCATAAGAAAAAGGGAGACATTTTTTTCTTGTCTTTGAGGAAGTTACCCGGCAAAGTTTAGGCTTGTCCTTACCAAAAATAGCTTTTTAATAATTTTCTAAATTAAAGATGGAACTTCTCTTTTAATTTAAAAGGAATTTAAGATCCGAGAGACTTTCTTGGAAAAATTTTGTACGACCATGGGATTTCTAAAGGTTTTGACCTTGTTCCCACCACAATTCTCGGGTGTCTTTTTTTTTATGTGCCATTTATCAGTTTGCATATGTGTTGAAACAATATATGTGGCTAAACCTAAATGTTCGAGTGTGAGTATGTTCATATCTGAGTATGTATGAGCACATTGTCTAAACCTAAACATAGATTTGTTAATGGGGTTCGTTTCTTACATCCTTAGGACACAAACAATGTTGTTATACGGTATCAGCGCAAATCAGTGCTGACCACTTTTAACTAGATTTACAATGATGAGTAACAACTACTCATTGTCTTCTCTGATGAGTATAGTTCTTTATAACAAAAATATTAACAGCTTAACTATTTGGTAGGACGAGTCACACACACCCATGTGTATTTTTAATAAACCCTAAAGGCGTAGCCGCTTCACGGCACCCTCTTGTTCTCTTTATACTTCTTTTGAGTAAACCCTAAATTCTTTAAGCCCAATAATCTTCAAGACTTCTTATTAGTTGAACTTGCCTTAGAAACAAAGTCCACGTGATCTCTTGTTGACGTGAAACATCAAGTGACCTTTTTTCTCTTCACTAAGTATACAAGCTTGCATCAACATCAAGCACCTCACGTATAAAACAAACAACTTCTTTGTCTATGCAACTCCACATCAACATGTACCAAGTCGAAGAATTTATATAAAGCTTAGTCAACATAACTCTTCATTCTTCTGTAACTGAGATTTTGAAAGCAAGTTTCTCTTAAACTGCAGCTTCTCATTTTCTGCATCTAAGGAGTCGAAGAAGTTCAACAAGGACAATGCTCTCAGTTACTCCTAGATGATCTCTAGGATCAGAATTCTATGAGCAATAAGCATGTATCAGGCATTAAGCAAAAATATACCATAGATAACCTCCAGAAGCCAACCAAATGCTAACTCAACTGTTACTGTTATAGCTTCTCTTGAACCATCTTAAGGAAATCACTAAATTCAGAATCATGCTGGACAATCTCAAGTTAAATCATCAGGAAAACTTTCGACGTTATCTTCTTGGTAACTTGAGATGCCCATAAAACCATTAATCAACCTTACAGATACACACAATAGGAGCTACCTTGCTGGTTTGATTTTGTCGTACAGCTGATTGTAATTGCAGGAACACACAAGCATCTCGATCTAAAATATTTCTAGTGACAAGTACAGTGTTTTATTCTTGACTTCTTTCATCTTTGTGAAACATGCAGTATGTTTTCACTCCCACTTGAGTCTTGACATGACTCACATACCGAAGTAATCATTTTTTCACGTACCACATACATGTTGTCTTAGAACCATACTCCTTTCAAGCTCTTCTTAACAAACTCTCCAGAACCTGCAACCATCCTTTGTTTAAGCGTTCTATCAGTCTTCTTGAGACGACTTGCGAAAAGAGATGCCATCTTGAACAAAAATTCTCTCAAATTTGTCGAGGCTTTCTCTACAATTAAAGCCACTTTCTGCGGGAGCTTTTAGACATCATATTCTATTCAATAACATAAGGCTTTCTCCTATAACATGTCCCTGCCGCTAGTCTACCGCAACTGAGAACTGTTAGTCTATTTCTATGGTTACAATTATGAATCAGCACCAAGACCTAATTTAGATTTGCTTTAATTCAATCCTAACATGTTTCTAAAGAAAGTAGAAACAGTAATCTTAATTTATGCTTAGATGCAATCCCTCCAATTGATTTTCTCCCCTTTAACTTTCTCTTTTGTGATTTCCTGGATGGACAGGAAATCTCAAATCTTCCTTAGTCTCTTCTTTAATAACTTTCTCGTTTATGTTGTAGTGTGTTTTTAAGAAAAAGACCTTTTCTTGTTACGGATAGAATGATGCACGAGCCCTTTTAATAATTAAGCAAAAGGACGTGTGTAAACACAACTTTCCAACATAACTTTTCGTTATTAACCGCACCGGCATATAACATCATATATGTATATTAAACCTTATGATAATATAATCATATACTTTTACCTTTCATATATATATATATGTATATAATCACGAGACTAAGGAGATTTATAAAACATAAAGTAAAGTAGAAGGGTTATTAATACACCAATATTTTAAATCATTAATCAAAACCGATCCATCACGGTATCGTCTTTTACATTATAATTTATAAACATTAATATGAACTTAAACTTTATATTTGACCAATAGACATATATGTCACATAGAATATAAAATATTCTTACATTCTCCCACTTGACCTTTGTGTCGACTTAAGAGTTTAATAACTTTAATGTGCACTTTTCATCAAGTTCACTTGATCTTTACTAAAATTAAAATTGATCGAATCATAGCGGTTGTTTGTCATTAAACGACATAATCCCTTCCATGTATCACAAATCAATTCTAATTTTAATCCTTAAATATGAGAAGAACCTTATTTCTCAAACCAACCATATGTTATCTACAAACCATAAGTGTATACATATACTTTAATGATAACATAATTAATAAATCAGAAACATAACTTAATGTGAATATTTTGTGTCAAATACATAATGAGCATCCCATAACTAAAATAGCAAAGCCTTATCTATAATACCCGTACGCTCTACATGGCCATTGAACGCCTTGGGTGGTAAACCTTTAGTTAGCGGATCCGCTACCATCATGTCCATCCTTATGTGCTCAAATGACACTCTCTGTTTCTGAACTTCTTCTTTAACAGACAAGTACTTAACTCCATGTGCTTAGCACCCTTTGAGTACTTGTCGTTCTTTGAAAAGAAGAGAGCTGCGGAATTATCGCAGTACATTCTCAGCGGCTTGGCTATAGTGTCGACAATCCGAAGTCCTGAGATAAAGTTCCGCAGCCATAATGCATGAATTGTGGCCTCAAAGCATGCCACAAATTCAGCCTCTATAGTGGAAGTAGCAATGACAGACTGCTTTCCACTCTTCTATGATCTTGCTCGCTCAGCTAATAGGAACAAGTAACCAAACGTCGATTTTATGCTATCAACGCATCCAGCATAGTCTGAATCTGAATATCCAATGACTTCTAGCTGATCAGATCTCCTATATGTAAGCATGTGCTCTTTGGTGCCTTGTAAGTACCTGAGAACCTTCTTTGCAGCTTTCCAGTGGTCCATTCCAGGATTACTTTGATATCGACCCAACATTCCAACAGCAAAGCTGATATCGGGTCGAGTACATGTTTGAACATAGTTCAAATTCCCAACCACCGATGCATAAGGAATTTTTCCATTTCTTTATGCTCAAATTCATTCTTAGGACATTGCATTTTACTGAACTTCTCTCCTTTCTGAATTGGAGTTAGTCCTACATAGCATTTTGCCATTCTATATCTCTCTAAGATCTTATTGATATATCCTTTCTGAGACAAACTTAATAATCCTTGAAATCTATCGCAAACGATTTCTATCCCGATCACATAAGATGCCTCACACATATCTTTCATTTCAAAGTTCTTAGAGAGATACTTCTTTACATCATGTAACATACCCATGTCATTTGCAGCAAGAAAAATATCATCAACATATAAGACTAAAATCACAAACTTACTCCCACTGACCGTAATGTAGATACATCGATCAACAATGATCTCTACAAAACCATATGATGTGATGGTATCATTAAACTTTATATACCATTGTCGAGAAGCTTGTTTTTGTCCATATATTTACTTTCTCAGCTTACACACCAAATTTTCTTTTCATGCGACCACGAAACCTTCAGGTTGGTCCATAGATATTTCCTCCTCAAGATCACCATTCAGAAAGGCGGTTTTCATATCCATCTGGTGAAGCTCAAGATCGTAATGAGCCACCAAAACAAAAACAATTCTAAGAGAATCCTTCTTTGAAACAGGAGAGAATGTCTCTTTATAGTCAATGCCATCTTTCTGAGCGAAACCTTTAGCAACAAGGCGAGACTTGTGTCTCTTAGGTTTACCTTTCGAGTCGCGTTTAGTCTTATAGACCCATTTGCAACCAACAGTTTTGAAACCATTGGGCAACTCTACTAAGTCCCATACATGATTGTCACTCATAGATTTCATTTCTTCTTTTGAGGCATCAAGCCACTCTTCAGAATTGTCACTTTCCATGGCCATTTTGAATGAGAACGGGTCATCATCCATGCTTAATTCACATTCACTTTCAATAGTGTAAATCACATACTCGTTTGAAATAGCAGATCTTGTTTCTCTTCTAGATCGCCTTAAAGGTATTTGTGGTTCACTATTCTCTTCTTAAATTGTGACAAGTTCATCAACGGTATTTTCAGCTAGTGGGACTGGCACATTATTTTGTTTTCCTATTGTGTCATTAAAATCTGATGGAAGAATAAGAACAACTACCTTAGATGAAACTACATGTGAAGAAAATTCAACATGAACTTCATTAATGTTCACCTTTCGTGTTTCACTACTCCCACTAGTTTCACCGTTTTAAATGAACCTAGCATTACCCGAATCAACTATTCTCGTACTATGGTTAGGGCAATAAAATGTGTAGCCTTTTGATTTTTCAGGATAGCCAATGAAAAATCCACGGATGGCCTTGAATCAAGTTTCTTTTCATGTGGATTATATAACATTACTTATGCTGGAAAACCCCATACATGTAGATGCCTTAAACTAGGTTTTTTTCAGTCAAC